CTTTTGTACTCAACGCAAAACATGACGTCATTTCTGGGGGCAATGCATAAAGCATAAACTGAGCTTTATCCACTGCTTTGCAAGGAGGATCCGACAATCACATCACATAATATTTCAATTGATAATGCAGCCCTAATTTGAATTAAGATGGTCAAGGTAGATTCAATATTTTCATTACAACTATGCCACAATCTTACAATTAATCATTGTGGACACAAAACCACTGATGTACAATTCACACATAGTCCCAGCACACTGCCTTTAATTGTACAAAGACACATTTATCAGGGAGGTGTGAAATGTTTCAGTTCACCGCTGTTGCTCCTGTGAAGTCTAACGCTTTCTCTTCATTCACACTAGAAATAAGGAAACCTCATAATCCAAATATGTATAATAATAATAAATAATAATAAATATCTGATTTCCTCTTTGTGCCAAGTTTGTTGTCCAACTGTAAAATATCAATTTGAGGGATCCCTGCCAAAAATGTTTGCTATGTCTTAAAAAAAGAATATTCCAATTCATCATCACATATTTACTAATTTTGCTGTACTCCAAATATTGATACTGACAGTGGTATCAGTGCTAACAAAGTGCTGGAAATGGCCTGCAGGCAGTGGCTCATGGGTCGACGAGGATTAAAGTGAAGTCAGGTGACATCCCACCCCCTCTACGGTGAGCTGATGCGCCTACATGCCACCACTAGTTTGAACCTGCAAATCTGAAGCATCTGTAAGTGTTGGATACAGGTTGCATTACGATTCCAGCTGTTTTAGAAAATCCACACTCCTCCATTAACTCATTTTCCTGAACAAACAATCAAAGCACCTCGCAGCTTTGATCGCTGACAACCGCTGCCCTGGAGGTAAGCGCCGGTCTCGCCCAGCACCATATGGCCCTGGTGGGCATTTAACAGATTGCACAAGAAGTTTCCTCAGCAGCGGCTCCCACCCCTTGTGCCCGTCAGGCGTAGCAAGCCCCCCTGAGGACAGAGCTTCTTATCCTGAGGGCAGGGGCGAGGCTGTCCCTAAGGTTGGGGGAGAAAAACAAAGAAAGGTGGTGGAGGACAGTGCTGGGGAGCTGCTGCAGAATCAGAAATAAATAGTATAAGCTTGCTGGAAGAAATGAGTCTTTAGCATATGATATCACTGGATGTTGAATAAGCCTGCCAGAAAAGCTTCTTACGTGTAATGCATGTGCACGTTAAAAAATAAATCATCTTTCCTTTTGGTGCTTGTGCTTTAGTGAGTAATCAGCCACATGACCTTGCCGGTGCACCAAATAAACCCCCCCCCACCAGTCAATTCGCCGTAGATTTCAACCACACACATGCATGCACATGAAACATAGGGGACATGACGGTATGAAAATACTGGTGGGCACAGCTTTGGCACACCCCGTGGATGCATAGCAGGCAGGGAGGCAGGTCAGCAGGGGCTCTGGTGCCTCTGACTATATATGGCCATTCTGTAGAGCAGAGGGAATCTTCCCAGCATACCACGCACAATTTGAAGAATCATGTCTTTTTCTATGTTATCATTACTCTCTCTCTCTCTTTTTAAAATTCCTGCACCCAGAGTGAGGCACCTGAGCGAGTGCACAGAGCCAGCTGGTTCGGTGCCAACTGATAAAGAGTGGTGAGAAACTCGGAGAGAATCTCTGTGTGCAGTGAAAGAGCAGTGCTTTCAAAGAACGTGGATATAAATGCACTATTTCAAAATAACTAATGAGCTGAGACCAACTGTGTGTGGCAGATATATATATATATATAATGTAATCCGTCAAGTGAATAGTTATTTACAGCAAACGTGCAGGCCAGCGTACCGACCCACTGGTTTAATGCACTGCTCTTGTGTGCCATTTTAAACAAAAGAGGAATATGGCCGCAGATGCAAAGGATTAAGTTTGAAGTCAGAAATGCAACCCTGCGACAGCATTGTACTGGCAAAATGATGTGGTTAGAAAAGCTGGTATAGGTTGCAAGACATTCTCTTTGTGGCCTAGTTTTCTGCACAAGAATATGACAACAATACTTTTTCAAACTGATGAATCACTTGCGGTGATCAAACTTTACACAAGTGTGTTCAATCTGTATATAGATCCAGGTTTCCATTCCCATCAGCCAGCTGGCCATAGAAAAATTAAGTGATTTAAAAAATGGCTTCTTAGCTATAACGTAATTTACATTATGGCCGTCAGTCAGAATCGGCTGTGCTGTGTTTTCAGGGGTTGGCTGTAATCTGGCACCTCTCCAGGGGCAACGGCTGCCCTCTTGGCAGAGAGTACAGCTGGAGAGCCAGCGGCACAGCATGGCCGAAAGAACCTTGACATGGCTTTTCGGGTCTTAGAGAACAGCTTGGTTCTTTAATTTTCTGGGCAAAGCTGCAAGTGCGGCGACACAGTGGAGATGCATAAACAGGTTTTTGGTGGGGTGGGATCCCAGTCCTGCAGTGATAGGTCTTAATCAGGTCTATAGTGGAGTGCTGTTTGAAATCTTTATGGCAAAAAGTCTATGTTATTCTACACATTCTGTTTAACAAAAGAAGTTCAGCTGTGCAAGAATAGAATCAAATACAGTCTGAAATAGTAAAAAAAAAAAATTATTTAAATCAGAAGCTACCGGTTAATACGGAAATCTGACCAGACATTTAAATTCAACTTCTACTTTTATGTTTGACAGGTCCTGCGGTAGGGCTGTAACTAATGATTATTTTCATCGATCAATCAATTGTTTGGTCCATTAAATGTCAGAAAATGGTGAGAAATATTGATCAGTGTTTCCCAAAGGCCAAGGCGATGTCCGCAAACGTCTCGTTTTGCCCACAAGCCAAAGATATTCAGTTTACTGTCACAGAGGACTAAAGAAACCAGAAAACAACCACTCTGAAATCAGAGAATTTGAAAATTTTTCCTTAAAGAATGACTCAAATAAGTCCTTTTTAAACAGGCAGCAATCAGTATCAGTCAGCAAAAACCTTGCAAAACAAAGTCTTAAAGCACATTTGTTGTGTAACTTCAAGATTACACTTTCTACTCCCTACAGTCCACCTTAAAAAATAAGCCAAATGGGAAATGCCTCAAAGGAACCAAAAGTCACCACAAATCAAAGAGCAAAGAAGCTTGGTCACATTGTGTTATCTATAAAAGGGCCTTGCAATCTGTGACCAAGTGCTTGACAAAGCAGAAAAAGGCCTCTGAGGGAGAAGAAACTCCACCCCGTTTTCAGTTGGGGGGCCTGTTGTGATTATTCAGTCGGTTGGCGTTTGAAACCCCGCGGACAAACTCCTCCTTTCTGTGGATCTGACTGACTGACGGGCTGAGAGACCCAAAGAGCGAGGAGACAAACTCAGCTTTGTGAGGAGTGCTGGGGCAGGTTCTGTCTGGAACTGGACAGCTGCTCTTCTACCAGTTGCAGCCAACCCCCTCCTCCTCTTCCTCTCCCTTCACCACCACCACCACGCTCCCAGTGCACATGCTCACAGGCCACATGCTCGTTCAACTGGTTATAACATGACAGCCAACGCGCTGATCGACGGCTGATCCGAAGAGGAGGCTAACTGCAGCACAGGCTATGACTTCGCTATAGACAGTTTGGCTTATGTCACGCAGGCTTGTTGCGGCCGTGTCTTTGTGTCAGCTGCGGGCTAATCTGACAGGCCCTCTCTTGTACAAGCTCCATTCCCACACAGCGGCGCTCGCAAATAGAATTAGCACCGGACAGTGAATGGAGCGAGAGATTAAAAAGGGACACACACACACACAAAAAAAAAATTAAAAAAAAAAAGAAAAAGAGGGAGAGAAGCAGTAATTCTCTAGTCCCAAACGCCCGGCTCAAAACCATCTGGTGGGAAGATAGCGGCGCGAGCATCACACTTCCCTAATGACAATCATGGGCTCCTTCTCTCTACGCCGGGGCTGATTTCAGGTGGGGTGATCACATGAGCACATGCACACAGATGGGTTCGCTCTGGGAGTTGAGGCAGGAGGGAGGGAGGGGGTCCTGGAGGTTCTCTGCACTGGGGGATTGAATGCAGGTCACTGGAGCACTGTGGGCTGTCAGAATTAAATACTCAGCTTAGCTTGCTGCTTAGTGCACAAGCAAATTGATGTTTTTTTTTGGGGGGCCAGCCTGCCTCCACTAGCCTATTAACAGTCTGCGCAGTGCTTAGCCAACTAGACGTCTGCTTATCGTGTAGGTAACCTGGTTAAATGTCATTAAGGAGCGTAGCAGCAGGCAACAAAATGGAGCCTCCACTGACTAACTAGCTGCAGTGATAACAACACAAGGAGGCCCGTTACAACATTAAAGCAAGGATGGATGTCTCTCCCTATCCAAAGCCATCCCCTCCTTTAACAACAGGCTGACCACATCGTCGGCTTCCAGACGAGCGCCCGCTGTCTTCCTCTGCCTCCTTGGCGACGTCTTTCAACAGCCGCAATGTTCATTTTCAACAGGAGAAATGTGACACCAAGAGCAGATGGCCCAGAGAGTGGGACTCCCATCCACTGAACTGGAAAAGTCCTGATTTAAACAGGATATGAAATTTGGTTTTGTTAAGAAAAGAAAAGAGGAGAAAAAAAAAAAAAGGAGGCAGAGACGTGAGGCCAGCAGGATTGTGACAGACAGTGTTTCTCCATCCTCGCCTCCTCACCTACTTTTCAGTAAGACAGGTGATGTAAGATAGGTGATGCATCAGACTGTAGACTGTCTGATTCACTCTTTACACACACTCACTCCCGGCTGAATGAACAATAACTGAGCAGGCTGACACCAACACAAGCAACCATTACTAGGGACTCTCACATTACATCTTTCTGTTTCTTTCAACTTAACCAGCAGCGGTGTGGCCCGATGGCAACATCTGAAAGGCATGTCTTTGAATTGTCCCTTGCTTTGTTCACAGGCTTTATAAAAGGGTGAGGGGGAAAAAAAACACATTGCTTATCCTGAGCATTCACTGTAAAAACAGGACAGGCCATGCACTGCGCCTCCAACCAACCTTGTATACTTGTCCATAGGTGCCATTTCCAACCACCTCCACCAATTCAAATATCCCAGCTGGATCCTGAAAAGAAAAAGAGACAAAGACGATTGAGTGGAAATAAAAATCAGTGTTAATATTTTTCCTTAATTGAACAACATTGTCCAGTGTGAGCCAGCTGTTGCGCCCTGCTCTACCCTACATGCCAAACGCATCTCGAACAAAGGAAAACCAGACACTGGCAACACCTCGCTATAGCTCAGCGGTCATTTTCAATACTTCAGCTCTAACAAGAAGAGACACTGGAGTTAAAACTTGCTCACGCTAGCCACACTGGGGGACGTGTGTTTTATCGAGCTACGTTGAATAAAAGATAGCAACAACAAAAAACAGGAGAGGAAGGGGGGGAAAAAAAACAGAGGCTCGGTTCGGCAGTCACTCACCCGCAATGAAGCCAAGTCTATGTCTACTAGACTTTTAGCTGGAGAGTCGTTCGCCATCTTTCAAATAAAAGCCGAGCTTTCCTGTGCGTTTACTAAAAACAACTGGCTCTGTAGCATTTGCGAGGACTTCGGCGGATGAACCAAGTGGAGGCCGTCGCGTATTCCTCTCTGTGGGATCCGCTCCTTAGCAGTAATGCTGGACTCTCTCTACTCCATGTTGAGGTGGCAGCAGCGGGCTCACTGTCCGCTCTCTCTCAGCTTGTGCTACACCGACAAGCTACACCGAAAACGTCCACTTCCGCCGGAGAGTTTCAACATAAAAGCCTCACTGATATCCTTTCTCATTGTTTTCGACCAAAAGATACTGAGATACATATGACTATATTAGAAGAGGAATCAAATGTGATTCTAAACAATATAGTAATTGTTCTTCTTTTTTGAATGAGCTCAGCCAAAGGCCCATG